CTATAACAACATATTGAGATCGATTTGCAAGCTAACTTTGACACAATTTTAACAAAAGTCCTCTAATTCCATAATGCGACATTTTCGTTAACAACAACTCATGATCGACAGTGTCAAGTGCTTTTTTTTATATCAATAAACGTACCAATGGAGTGTCGTTTTAAATAGATGTTACTACAAACATAAAGTGTTTAATCTAAAATAGCAAGTTCGGTTGAACTCTTCTTTCTGAAACCTAACTGGCAAGGAGACAAAATTTGAAATTTATTTAAAAATGACGTAATACTATCACATATTATTTTCTCCATGATTTTCAACAAAGACGACACTAATGATATAGGACGACAGTTGGATACCAAATCTGAGGAACCTTCTTTGTGAACTGGAATAACCTTTGTAATTTTAAGACATTTAGGCACAATTCCTGTGAAAAAAGATAAATTAATGCAATATGTTAGTGGCTTTACAACTGAATTAATTATGTTTTTAATGATGTAGTTAGAAATACTATCGTGGCCAGACGAATGTAAATTTTTTAATTTAGAAACAATTTTTAACACTTCAAGCTCATTGGTTTTACAGAAAAAGATGGACGAACATGTGGAAGGTGGCATAAAGCTAAGAAAATTACAATGTTGATTTCTACAGCCAGTACAACTCCGGAATTGATAAAATAATTATTAAATGTGTTGGCGATCAATTTACCCGAATGAAAAATATCACCATTATGATTTAAATTAGGTACTGGTTTAGAGATGTTGGTAAACCTTTTATTATTTTCTAAATTTTTTTTATGTTATTATGGAAAGTTTTAAATTCATTTTTTTAAATAAAGCAATTGATTGTCTTTTGACTTTTAGAAATTTGTTTTTATGAATTAAATAATATTACTTATTATAATCAGTTGGATTTTTTAAAAATTTCTTTTAAAGATTATTTTTAAGTTTAGACAATTTCAGTAGCTCATTTGCGAACCATAGTTTTTTGAATTTTTTCTTAGTAATTTGAGTTTTAAGACAGAATTTAGAAATGGTGGAGGTAGCATATTTCAAAAAAATATTAACAGCAATATTGACGTCAGCTGAAGCAAAGACAGCCAACCAATCAAGGGCTAACTACTGGTTATTAACCTCTTCCAGGTTTCGCCTAGAAAAACATAACTTATCTACCACCTCAACTTCAACATCTGATACTTTTTCTTCAGCTGTTGTAAATATAGGTAGGTGATCCGATATATCACTGAAAATGATTCCAGAGACATGGGATACTAAATTGTTTGTATATATGTTGTCAATGAGAGATTAACTATGGTCGGTAATTCTAATGGCTTTAGAAATCAACGGACGATAATGCAATGAATATAAGGTATTTGCAAAATACGAAACAGAATTATAATTGTCAGACCCAATTAAGTTAATATTAAAATCACCTACAAACAGATCTTTCTTTTACGTAAAGCCTTATTTATTCTTAAGACATTAGAAAGTTGGTCTGTAACAACAAATGGATCAGTCAGGAGGCATATAAAAAACAATAATTACGACTTTTTGATTGTTTTTTACTGAAATTTCAATTGCCATAGATTCATAACTCTGCGATGAGGATCGTAAATCAACAAGCTCTTGGACAGCAAGATCTTGGTACACAAATAAACCAACCCCACCACCTCGCTGAATAATTCGGTTATTGTAAAAATTTATAATTTGGAATTGCTACTAGAGAAGCCTTATCATTAGAGATCGGGACCTATATCACTAGCCATTGTAAACTGCGGTGTTTGGACTGTTTGACTGAGGCTTTTTTGGGAAGATCCATTCTCGTATCTTGACCTGAATTGGCCATGAGTCGATGTTTTCAACTATATCAGTAAATTTGCTGTCGACACATAACCTGAAGGATAAGGAGTGATTCGTGTCTTTAGGATTGGGTTCAATGGACTTTTTGAACGCTAAATAGCAAGAAATAGCCTCCACTCCTATGTGTCGCAAATGTTCAATCAGGTCTTCACAAGCACCTCTAGCAACGTTGCTGATATGATAGAATTTTCTACTATTAGCTGCAATTTTTGAGTTTTGAGGCAGTCTACACCCAACCAAATTTTACACATTCGACATATTATATGAAGGTGGATTAGCACGCTTCTTTCTGTGCTCGACCAATATAAAACTATCTTGACTTTCTATTGGCGTTTTTAAAGCTACATCATCCGCCCAGTTAGAACCTCGTATATATATATATATATATATATATATATATATATATATATATATATATATATATAGTGTTGTATAGTAATCGGATTACAAGTAATCTGATTACGTAATCGATTACATTTTTTTGAATCTGTAATCGCATCATTTATAAAAGTAATCTGTAATCAAATTACATTTTTTGTGTAATCTGTAATCTAAACAGGTGTCACAATTACTTTATTTTAGATTACTTTAATCAACGACAACAATACATTTTTTAAAATACCTAAGATTTTTAAAATTTGAAGTTAAAAAACTAAAAAAATGACTTATTCAACAAGCAATAGTTTATCCATTGACGTCGTATGCTTTTTAGTTAGACCGCTCACGTAATGTTTAAAAGTTGGTCTGCTCAAGAACGTTATGAAGTAGGATAAGCAAAGTCGCTTCTGGTTCAAACTTGTAATTTTTAAAATTATTTTATGAATAATTACAATTTAATAATTTAATAAAAGTTTAAGATAAAATTAAAACCTATTAATTAATTAATTTATTTATTCAAAATTTGAATGCAAAAAGTATGAACTATTGCTTGCTTATCCTTATGTTATTCAAAGACCATTGATTTATTGAGGATATTCAAAATTAGGGTACTTCAATTTTGAGCCAATTTTTTAAAACATGTGATCGTTCTAAACATAGTAGTGAGAAATGCTGTCCGACCTTGTTGAATTTTTCTATGTTAACAAAACAAGAATCGATAAATCAATGCTTTAAAACTCTTATTCGATCATATCAGTATGCCTATAATAACGCAAAAAGTCATCATGTGTTTGCTTACAGGTGTTTTTCCTATGGACTGTATATTTAAAAACGAAATCTTCTGTTAATTCACTAATAACTAGATTATATTTTAATTTATCTAATAATTAAAAGATATAATACTAACCCTGTAAAATTTAAATTTAAGGTGTTAAATTTACATAGGACTTTATTTTTAAATGCATCAAAAACAAAACTCGTAGGTACCTTCCAAGAAGATTATATAAGAAGAAACAAACGCAAACAAAAATGCCAAAAACAAATATGGATGGCAGAGAAATAAGTGCTGATGTTCGCGTATCATGTATAATCATTGGTACCTTCCTGTCTACTTCAAGTGAAATTTAAACGCACCCATTCAATTAGATATTTAAACATGCCCATCAATTAACATTTTTTATCGTCCGCTTAAAGCAAAATGGCGAAAGTATTGAAATTGAAAAAATTAGCGATGATGGACAGGATCACGTTCCTCTGATTTTGAATGGAAAATATTTTAAAATTGAGTCTCAACGAGGTAACAGCGTGACTGCGAAATGTCTCATGTGCTTGCCAGCTGTAAATAAATGTGTAACGGGCAGCACAACGTCAAATTTGTTACTCACATGAAACGAGTTCACAAAAATTCGGTATTAGAATACAAAATATACAAAGAAAAATGTTTACTTGATTTAAAGGGAAATATAAAAAGAATAGCACACCCTTATTTTAAACTACGTTGGATACCACAACAACATGTTGAAAAACGCCGTACATTGTTTATTAATGCATGTATCCAAATGGAAAGAGATGTGAAAAATATAAACCAAATTTCAATAGATACAGCCACACAATCATCAAATAATGATGATTTTTTTGAATTTGTTAAGGTTGTTGATCAGTCCAGTAGCAGTAAGGTTCAAGTACAATGTGCTCTTTATTTGGAAGAAGCAGCAACAGATTTGATTTTGCTGGACAGATTTTCTATTATAAAAGAAGTTTTTACTAAGTTCAATACACCAGTACCTTCATCAGCACCAGTTGAGAGACTTTTTTCACATGGTGGTTTGATACACACAAAGAAACGTACCAGACTTGGGGATGCTGTATTCGAAAATCTAATATTGTTGAAGGCTAATGCTGATTTTCTTGAAAAAGATGATTGAAATATTAATTTAAATGAAGGAATTAATACCATGTCTATTATTATTTTAATGGAAAGATAATTGAACTAAAATATTAATATCATGTTTATTAACTTTAGACTACAAGTATATTATGTAAAATATATATAAACATATATATGTTTTATTTTTTGTATTAAAAACTATCTTTTGTTTATATATTTGGTATTCTTTGCTATTTTTATACAGAGTAAACTAAAAGTAGGTGGACAGCCACTGGAATAAATTTATGCATTATTTATATTAATACAATTATCTATTATAACTAATGTTACAACTTTGTTATTTGTGTTATATAATTAAAATTATATATCTACAATTATTTTAATTTAATTTAATTTCTTATTAATCTCTAAATAAATATTTTTTACTGTCCACCTACTTTTGGCTCACCCTGTATATTAAGTATTATGCTATTATTTGCATTAAAACTTTTAATTTGGATTTCTTTGTATTTTTATTAATTGCTTAAAATTTGCTTGTGCTCATAATAAAATACATTATAAAAAAAACTATCATTTTTCACATAACCAAAATATTTTGTCATCTTAGTATTGATGTATTATTATATTAAGTATTATAAAATGTAAACATATGTATTCATAAGACTATGTGACATTTATTAAATAAAATTCTTATGATGTAATCTGTAATTTCAAAAAGTTTGATGATGTAATCTCTAATCGGACACCTCATTGCAAAGTAATCTGTAATTTGTAATCAGATTACTTTTCAAAAGTAATCTATACAACACTGTATATATATATATATATGTATATATATATATATATATATAGTATTGTTCCGTCTTTGTGTTTTTGTTTTCACAGCGACTTTGATTCTAACTTAATTAGAATTAAAGTTAATCATGTGTTTCTTTGTTGGAAGAATATTGGTATTATTTATTTAATACCAATAATACTATATTAGAACTAAATAATACCAATATTCTTCCAACAAAGAATGATTAACTTTAATTCAAGTCGCTGTGAAAACAAAGACACAAAGACGGAACAATGCTATATAACTACACTGATGATGGCAGTTGATGCCGAAAAGTGTTTTTCTTTATATATAAATATATACAATTATTTAGTTATTACTATATATATATATATATATATATATATATATATATACATACATATATATATATATATATTAGCATCTGGGCACATACACAACGTATCAATTCGATCACCGAAAAGGGTTTAGGAATGCCGAAAAAAGCTTTTTGACTTTATCATACTTATAATATCTAAAAATTTTGGTATTGAACTGAAGAAAATTGAGAATGATTTACGATCACCCGTTAGAAAATTCGAAAAACTAAACAAGAAGCTAATTAACGCGGAACATGCTGTGATTTTCATAAATAATATTATAATATGTATATTATCGACAATATATATATATATATAAATATATATATATTTCAAACATATATAAATATATATTTTATTATATAATTTATCTAATCATAATTTAAATCATGATATATATATATATATATATATATATATATATATATAACGGAAATTAACAAATTATTTTAATTTATGTTGTTATTTTCATGTAGGTATATGTTTTTATTTGGTTTGGATTGGGTGGTCGTACAAGCTCGTTATCAAAGGCGCCGATTCCATGGGGCTTGGAGATGTTCGAGCCCCCCCAATATTTATTCCCTTGGGCCTGCAACAATGCTGAGTCCCCCCCAATATTTTGTCATAGAAATTTAATATTATTTTAGATATAATTTTAAATATTTTCTAAACTTTCCATGCTAATTTTCATATTTAGTTCTTGAGATTTGTATACCGTAAGTTAAGCAAAAATAGTGAAGTATCTCTGCTATCTTTCTTCCATCTTTGATTTAAGTTAACTTTTCATTGTGTGTTTGATCAGCGGACTAAAATTTAAAATCATTTAAAAAATAGATTAAAATCATTTATAAATTGGTTTAAAATGAAACATCGACAACCTACAATTGATTTTTCTAAGTTTGTTGCAAAAAATATTAAGATAAATAAATTTTTTACTGACTTTGAATTTAACTTAGTTGGTATTAAATTAATTGTGAATAAATTATTTTGATAATCAATGGAGTATTATTATGTTTTAATTGCTAAAATTTATCAAATGTAAAATTTATTAAAACAATTGTGTGTTTGATCAGCGGACTAAAATTTAAAATCATTTTAAAAATAGATTAAAATCATTTATAAATTGGTTCAAAATGAAACATCGACAACCTACAATTGATTTTTCTAAGTTTGTTGCAAAAAATATTAAGATAAATAAATTCATTACTGACTTTGAATTTAGCTTAGTTGGTATTAAATTAATTGTGAATAAATTATTTTGATAATCAATGGAGTATTATTATGTTTTAATTGCTAAAATTTATCAAATGTAAAATTTATTAAAACAATGACTAATGACTTAATAAATTTTAGCAGACAGTTGAATTGGAGGTTGCAAGTTCTTCCAGAAATATCCATGACATCATCGAGTTTGCAAGTTCTTCAAGAAATATAGATGACAACGACATCACAGAAGGGATAATTGACGAAACCAGTAATAAAACAATACAAAAACCTTTAGAAATTTTTAGTTTGGAATCAGAGAAAAAGAAGAAGAAACATACTTGGTTAAAATATGAGCCTGTTGAAGATAAGATATTTTGTGAAATATGTCAACAATGTGATGACCTTAATCTCTTTCAATTTTTAAGTAAACAGAATCATGCATTTGCCAGAAATGGATTCAACAACTGGAAACATGCCTTAGAAAAATTTAAAGCTCACGAAAAATCACTCAGCCACCAGGAAGCAGTTTTGAAAATAAATAATGTAAATCAAGGCACAAATGCTCTAAGTCAACAGAACTCTTTTATACAGAAAGATATGGTAACAGCTAGAAATGTTTTTTTTTTCAAAATTGTTACATCTTTGCAGTACTTATGCCAACTTTAATAATTTGTTAGAAATACGTTGTGAAGATAGCAAAAAATTGAGCTCTTGGCTGAAAAGAAGCGGATACAAATGGAATTCACATGAAATCCAGAATGAAATCATTGAAATGTTAGCATTTTCAGTTTTAAGATTATTTATATCTGAACTGTCTTCTGCTCCATTTTACTCAATAATGATTGATGAATCAACAGATGCCAGTATAAAAGAACAAATAAGCCTATGTTTTCGTCATGTATCAGATGATTTTACTATTCATGAGAACTATTGGGGATTTTATAAAACTGTATCGACTACTGCTGAAACTCTTTTACAGATCATAAAAGATGTTCTTTCCAGATTCAATATAAGTTTTCACAAGTGCCGTGGACAGTGTTTTTATGGAGCTGCTAATATGGGTGGGAAAATAAAAGGTTTATAAAAGCAAATTCGAGCCAAAGGCTTTTCATATTCATTGTTTGGCTCATTCTTTAAATTTATCATTTCAAGATGCCTTGAATCAAATTAAGGAATGAAGAGATGCAATAAATCTTGTTAAAGATCTTAACAATTTTATCAGAGAGTCGCCAAAACGGCTGTCATGGTTTTCTACATTACAAGCTAAAGATAGCACTTCTCTCAGACCTCTGTGTCTAACTAGATGGACAATGAGAGCATATAGCATTTCATCACTACTAGATAATTATCCAGCATTGATTTTGTTTTTTGAAGAGGTGTCAGAACAAAATACGGGTAATAAATCAATTTTTTTCAAAATTTATTTAAATTATTTTTAGTTTAGTTTACAACTAGTCCAATATCTGTAATTTATGTTAATTATGTTATGTTAAATTATGTTAATGTTAATCTATAATCTTCATAATAATATTTTATTATTAATTATTGATAACTTGATTTTTTGCTTATAAAAGACATTTTGTGAATTCAATAAACAAATTTTTTTGATTTAGGAGAAATTGGTGCTAAAAGCAGTGGATTTCTAAGAAGTTAGGAATCTTTTGATGCTTTCTTTGCCTTGAAGCTGACAAGTTTTATTTTTAATTCAAGTGAAACAGTGGCCTCGTCATTACAATCTTCTTCAATCAATCTTTCATTAGCTCAAAAGCAGATAGACGATCTCATGCTAATTTGGAAAAGCCAACGTGAAGACACAAAATTCAATGACTTTTGGCATGAAGTAACTTTGAAAGCTGCAAAAAATAATATAGAAGCACCATCACTGCTGCGCATAAGACGTGCCTCCAAAAAATGGACGAAGATGCACAACCTTATAAACCTTCTGATCCAAAGGAGTATTTTAAAAGAATTTATATTCAAGCCGTGGATGCCGCATTTGAATGTCTGAAAATTAGATTCAAGTCCGAAGGATTTTTTATTGCACAAAACATTAATAACTCAGTTCTAAGTGCTTTAAATTTGCAGGATCAGAATATAAAAGTTTCAAAGCTTTTAGAATATTACAGAAATGATATAAATGAAGATCGTCTTATTCTACACCTAAAAATGTTTCGAGACCTCATCTCCCATGATTGTAGTAATTCAAAAAAGGAAATCCAAAGTATACAAGATGTTATTGATCTAATGAAATGCAAATCTAGGCAGAAAATGTTTTCGGAAATTTTCAATGTGTTAATGCTTTTTTTGACATTACCTGTAAAAACTTGCACAGCAGAGAGAAGTTTCTCAGCCTTAAGATGTCTAAAAACGTATCTGCGATCCACAATGGGACAGGAGAGGCTGAACCATGTAGCGATACTACATTGCTACCGAACCTTAACTGAGTCAATTGACATTAAACAATTATGCAATGATTTTTTAAACGAAATGATTTACGATTAAAAACATCTGCATTGTTTTAATTTTGTTTGAATGTTTTATTTCATTACCTTCTATATTTATATATGTTTGAAACATATATATATATATATATATATATATATATATATATATATATATATATATATATACATATATATATATATATATTATTATTACGGAAATTTATATACAGCGCTTTTTTATTGTTGAATCTCAAAAGCGCTACTAAATCATAGACAAATAAGACGGACATTCATTGTGCAAATAAATAAGTTTTAAGTTGACTTCGAAATTGTAAATATGATAGGTTAAGGTCACGTAAGTATGGAGGTAAACCATTCCAAACAATCGGGCCAAGAACAGCAAAGTTGCGGGAACCCGTCACCAACTTTGTGGTCGGGATAAAAAATAAATTGCGCTCGGTTGATCGGAAGGAATATTTTGAAAAATGAGATTTGTATGATTCCAATCTATCGATGAGGTAGGGAGGTGCTGTATTATTGACACATTTAAACATCAAAACTGCCAACTTGAAGGAAACACGTTTTTCAACCCTCAACCAGTGCAACCTATTCAAAATAGGCGTAACATGATCGAACCACGAACCACCCAAAACCAACTTGGCCGCACGATTCTGTATTGACTGAAGCTTTGAAAAAGACCTTTTGGTGACACCATAAAAAAAGCCATTGCAGTAGTCTAGTCTGGAAAAGACGAAAGAGGAAACCAAGCTTTGAAGAACAGACGTGTTTAGTGATTTTTTGACATTGCGTAATAAACGGAGTTGGTTGGAGCTCAATTATTAATATGTAAATCCATCTTTAGGTTTGAGTCAATAATAACTCCAAGACTACGGACAGATGTGGAAAATTCAATGATGTCATTGCCGACACTGATCGATGAAATTTTGACCTTCGACAGTTGCTGCCAAGAACCAACCGGTAATATTTGTGTTTTAGATTGATTTAACTTTAACTGATTCATACTCATCCAAGATCCAATTTCGATGAGACAATCAGTCAGTTCATTCAGAGAAACATCAATCGAATCAACAGGACAAGAAACCAATAACTGAATATCATCAGCAAAGGCGTGGGAGCTGAACTCATATTTTTGAATGATATCAAAAACATCAGCAGTGTACATAAGAAACAACAGAGGTCCCAACACAGATCCCTGGGGGACACCAAACGATAGTTTGTTTATGTCAGAGAGGGTGTTGTTGTAAGAAACCTGCTGGGTGCGGCCTAAAAGATAGGAAGCGAACCACGATAAGACTAAATCAGAGAGAAAAAAGTTTGTGGAGAGTTTATACATGAGACGAGTATGATCGACACAATCAAATGCAGCACTCATATCAAGTAATGCTAAAAAAGAAACGCATTGACTGTCAACTGAAGAGAACAGCTGGGAGAAAATATCAATGAGTGCAGTTTCTGTGGAAAAATATTGACGATAGCCGGATTGATTCTTTGGCAACAAATTGTTTTTGTTTAAATGCTGTAACAATTGTTTGATAACAACTCGTTCAATGACTTTAGAAATGAATGAAAGATTAGAGATAGGACGGTAATTTGATAAAACGTTGTCGTCCAAATTTGATTTTTTTAGAAGTGGGGTTACAATAGCATGTTTCAAAGGGTTGGGAAAACTGCCAGTTGATAAACATTGGTTGACAAAAAATGTCAAAAATGGCAAAAAAAGATCTATAAATTTTTTAAATATGTATGTTGGAATCAGATCAAAAGAACAAGAACTGCCAGGGGAGTCACAAACTATTTTACGCAATTCATCTGGCGTGCACATTTGAAAATTTGAAAGATTAACAAATGCTTCAGGCAAGACAACCCTAGAGACATACTCAAACTGGATTGGTTTGTTAGTATTTTCTATAGTCGTGCTACGAATATTATTGATTTTATTGACAAAAAATGTCATAAAATCATTGGGGGAGAAATCATTTGAATGGTTATTATTGTGATTTTTAGATAAAATTTTTTCGAGGATGTTCCACAATTTTTTTGGTTGTTTTTTAAACGAATCAACTTGATTTGACCAAAATTTGTTTTTTTTTTGGGAAGATTGTTGTATTTTTTCTTTTAACGCTAAGCGCCATGCATTTCGATTAATATCATTTTTCATTTTCCTATACAATCGTTCCAGTTTTCGACAATTGCGTTTTAATGAACGACATTCAGAGTCAAACCAAGGGGCAGATAGTACATGAGTAGATTTGACATAACGACAAGGAGCAACTATATCCACAATCCTCACGATTTCAAAATTAAACAAATCCAACAGGGTATCAGCGGAAGATGAATTGAACGGCCCTGAAATAGGTGATTCGAGAACTAGTGAAGAAAATTGATTTTCGTCAATTTGATTCCATGAACGAGTAAGTTTCCATTTTTTCTGAGGTGTGGGAACAGAAATAGGGAAACAAATTTATTTTAATTAAACTGTGGTCTGAATACACATCTGGTGGCTCAACGGAAAAAAATTGTGAGGGAAGGTCAGAACTAGAGGCAATTAAATCTAATGTTCCACCATGAACGTGGATTGGTTCATTTATTCTATTTATCAATTGATATAAATCAAAAATTTCAAACAATTTCAATGCATTAAGGTCGTTCAAAAGTTCAACATGAATATTCACATCTCCAATAAAAATAACATAATTTGCTAATTTGCTATAATTTGATCAAAAACAGATGATAACTCATCAAAAAACAATGGTGATGGAATAGAAGACCCAGGACGATAAATTGCAAAAACAACAATAGTTACTTTGTTGAAATAAAATTTCACAACTATAGCCTCAAACGTCTTAAATAAAGGCAGCGGAATTCTATAAAATTTAAAATAATTTTTAAAAAATACAATTATTCCACCATGGTTAGGGTCGGCCGGCCTCAAAAAATCTATGAACACAAAATCAGGTGGCAGAGTGAGTCTAAGTGATAAATTATCAGACGACCCATGCCAGGATTCCGTAACAACAAAAATATCAAAATTATTAGAAAATAAATCGCGAACAGTTTTGATCTTATTCATAATTGACCTAATGTTCAACAAACCTAATTGCAATTTTAGTTCTGTGTCTTTTTTGGTAACTTCACGATCATTACTATCACTTTTATCGTTACCATTACAACCATCATCACAATCGCAAATACCACCATCATTACCACCACCGTTAACATTACCACCACAACCAACTCCACCACTGCAAATACCACAACCACAACTATCATAATCACCACAGCTGAACAAACTTCCAGCACCATCAGCAATACCTTCACCAGAAATCACTTCACCGGATGCTCTCTGAGTTTGACGATCCGCCACCTTCCCACCGTTCCCCTCACCTTGAATAAAAAACCCGGACACGAGATTTTTCTTGATTTGGCTTCATCAATTAGTTTTTTTAACTCGGCACGCTGATCAACTGTTAAATCATGACTGATCCATACTTTATCAAGATCTTCATGCATAGTTTTTAATTTAAAGGAATTTTTTAAGACTAAATCTTTAATTGCACAACTCCTCATTTCAATCAGCACCGGTCTAATTTTAGTTTCAGCTTTTGGACCCAGTCTAACAATTCTTTTAATATCCTGATCCTTGACTTCACTGGATAACTTTTTAATAATTCCTTTGACTCTATCTTTATCATCATCAGTTTCTTGCAAATTGAACATCATTATGTTATTCTCTCTTTCTTTCATGTCATTTACATTGGTTAAAGTTTTTTGAACGCTTTTTACCTCATCATTAACTAGTTCATTAACTAGTCACTTCGCATCGGACAGCATCAGCAAAACTTTTGTTCAAATCGTTATTAAGGTTACACAGCTCAGTACTCAAAACTGTGCCATCGAATCTTTCCGCCCCATCAACATTTCTCTGAATTAAACTTTTGATAGCTTCAAGTTCGCTCCTCAACAAATTGTTCGATTCATCAATTTTGTCAATTTTAGTGTTGAGCGCATCATTGCTATCACGCACAGCTTTATTTAATGACTTTACATCAGGAAGTAGTTTCATGCATTCATCACAATACCACTTAATATTGGACACGGAACTGATAACCTTGAAAGCTGATTTACTTATTCCGACACAGTCTTGGTGAAAAGCAAGTTGACATTGAAAGCACTGAATTGCGTCTTTATCTTCCATATTTCTAGCACATTGACATCCTTTGATCGACATTATTATTTCAAAAAGAATGTTTGCAAGTCAACTTATAAAATTATATTTCAAATGTCTTTAGAAAGTTAGCAGTCCGCAAGAATAAACAAGAAAAAAACAAAAAATAAAAAACAGCAAAACACTTCAACTTTCAAAACAGTGCAACTTCTATAAACTATCCTTTATTGTTTACAACTTTAACTTTATTACCGCAAATTCAAAATTTAAACCAAAAAATAGTGAAAAATAAAACAAAATTAAATTGCAAACAACCAACTGAACAAAATTTATATCCTCTTATTCTTCTAAATTTATACTATAAAACGAAATCAAAATTAAGTCGAACACTATAATATCCTATGAAACTTTAGAAAAATACGGAGAAAATCGAAAATACTGTTGCTGAGTCAAAAGCCAAAAAATATATATGTATATATATATATATATATATATATATATATAGTATAAAGTATTTTGAAAAATTTCATCACTAGGAAACCCAAAGTTTCCACTTGTTGGGTCACCGAAATAAAAGTTTAAACCGAGCAATTTACCAAATACAACAAAAAATATAAAAAAGATTAATGTAAACAAGTAAAATTTTCAATAATTAATAAACATAAACTAAATTGCCAACTTCTAATAAATAAGATTATAAAACTAAATAACATAATTTTACAACAAAAATTTTTAATTAACATTAATGAATGAAGAAATATAGTTCGTCAAAATCAATTGCAAGATTGATTTCTTAAATAATCCAAGCGTGTTTGAGTTTTTTACCTGGATTGGTAATAAGTCCCATAATCTACAAAAAACGTGTAAAACTGAATAGTTATAAAAGTTTGTACGAGGTTTACGAAAATATAAATCGGTGTTATGTCTCAAAAGTATTAAACGATCATTGATTAAATGGTTTAATTAACTAAGCATAGAGGAACAGTAATTTAATTTAAACATTTTATAAAAAAAAACATTAAAGTGTGTAGAATATGTTGTTGATGAACTTTTAAAATTGTGGATGAAAGAAACAAATGACTTACCTGATCAGATTTAAATAAACCAAACAAAATACGAATAGAAAAGTTTTGAAGGAGATGTAAAATTCGAATATTAGGTTTTGTAGTGAAACCCAAAATAGAAATACAATAACTAAAAAATGGCAAAACAAGTGAATTATATAATGTGAGTAGAATATTTTGAAAAAACTTAGATTTCAGTCGATAAATTATGCCTAAATTTTTTGTGAAATGAATTGATTGTGACTAGACCAGGATAAATTCCTAGAAATAATAACCCCTAAAAATTTTGTTGATTCAACCCTATTAATGCAAACATTATTTAGTAAAATTTTAATATTAACAACACCAGTACGAATTTTTGGACGAAATAGAATAAAGTTAGTTTTAGCGATTTTTATTCGTAAGTAATTGGATAGGACCCAGTTATATACATTAATCAACTCATCATTGAAAATTGAAACAAGCTGATTAACATTAGAATTAGATAATAACAATGTAGAATCATCAGCAAATAAAATGAATTTTAAAATTTTTGATAAATAATAAAATCATTAATAAAAATATTAAAGAGTAGAGGACCAAAAATGGAGCCTTGGGGAACACCGGTAGAAATAGGAGAAAGAGAAGATTTTGAGTTATTAATCTGAACATATTGATATTTCTTTTAAATATGGAACAAACCAATTATAAGCAATGCCTCTAACACCGTACTTAAATAATTTATACAACAAGATAGTATGGTCGAGAGAAACGAAAGCTTTAGATAAGTCAAGAAAGACACTGATACAAATTTTTTTATAGATTCTAAAGCATTTAAAATAAAGTTAACTACATCGGCTATAGCAAACTCGGTGGAGTGTTTGGCCCGAAGACCAGATTGATTAGAGATTAATAAATTATTTGAGTTAAAATAATTAGTAAGTCTGATAAAAATAATTTTTTTCAATAAGTTTAGCTAGGCTAGAGATTATAGAAATAGGGCGATAGTTAGTAACATCATGAGGGTCACCCGATTTAAACAAAGGTATGACTTTAGAAATTTTTAAACATTTTGGGAAATAACCGCCATTAAATGATAAATTAATTAAATGACAAAGAGGTGAAATGATATTTGTTATGGTTGATTTTAAGAGAAAATTTGAAATTAAATCGTCACCAGAAGAAGAGTTATTAAAATTAGTCACAGTATTAAGAATGTCAAATTCAGAGCAATCAAACAAAACAAATGAATTTATCATATTAACACGAAACAATTGTTTAAATTTTGTGAATAAGGTACTTTTGTGATTACATGCAGAAGCAGCATTAGAAAAAATTTATTATTAAAACAGTTACAAAAACTCAAATCATCTTTAATCATTTCGTTGCCAAAATTAATAACAAAAGATGGTGGTTTATTTTTAACACGATTTCAAAATGGACCAAGTTTTTTTACCATTTTCTTTACTTTACTAAACCAAAAATAATAATGCAGATTTTCGAAACCTTACACGACTTTGAAAATAAATTTTTATACTTAATGTAATTCAGACGATCGATGAATGACGTTGATTTTAAAAACTTCCTACACAAAATATTTTTCTTTTTTGATGATACAATTAAACCATTGGTAATCCATGGTTGCTTTTTTCTTTTAATTGCAGGCTTTGCTGAATGTCAACGTTGCACAACAGCATTTTTAAAAGCCTTGATGAAGAAAGAAAATGCCTCATCAATATTACAATAATTAAAGAAAGAACCCCAGTCAAAAATTTTAAGAAACAAATTTAATTTGCAAATATTATTAAAACAAAATTTGAAGGATGAAATTATTGAATTCGATGATATTAAGGGAATTGTAATTTTAAATGATGTAAAAATTGGAAAATGGTCGGATAAAAATGAACAGATGACACCAGATTTATGTGGAGTTAAATTGGTCGTAAAAATGTTATCAATTAATGATGACAGGGTAGTAGTGACACAAGTAGGAATGGTGATTAAAGAATGAAAATTGAACAAATACATTAAATACAAAAATTCCTTACCAATGTTATTGCATTCACTACTAATTAAATTAATGTTAAAGTCACCTAATATATATACAGATTTACTTGATTTTGGAATTTTTAAAAGTAAACATATTAAATCATTTATAAAACAATTCAAGTCAGTGTTGGGAGGCCGATAGATAACATAAACTAAATAATTAGAATAATCAATATTTAGCAATTCAATGATTAGCAATTCAAAAAACAGAGAAAATATAAAAGGTCGTCACGAGTAATATATTTTAGAAAACTTGAAAGAAATATACCGACACCACCTCCTGTGGAGGAAACACAGTTTTTTGAAACAAAATTAAATTCAGGTAACTTAATTAAATTAGCATTTAAGTCGTTAAGCCAAGTTTCGGTAATACAGATTAATGAAAAACAATCATTGCATATATTGATGAGAATAGCAAGTTCAGACATTTTATTATCAAGACTTCTGCTGTTAATATGCATTATTGTGAAAGAATGCTGTAGATTGATAAACTGATTAACTTTTTCTGGTAGTTAAAAAACAGGCTGGTTGAAGATATTGTTGAAGACATTGATATCAAGATCTATTGAATTTAAAGTGGTGTTTATATCATTGGAGAAATTGTCATTCAGATCAGAGTCAAATGAAGTTGTTAAATTGGAATTAGCCATGATGAGATGATGGTGCGATAGTGTTTGAATATGTTTGCTGAGCTTGATTGTTGAAGAAACACCATTCGTGAAGAATGACATCATTTGGCCAGTTTTCTTCATTCATTACCTTATCAAAATGTGCTTCTAGGAACAAGATTCTGATGGCAGCGCTGGTTTTTGCGACACTGGTTTGAGAGTTGATATTATTATTTGAACTTTTTTTTATTAAAAACAGATTTGGTTAAAGGAATACAAGGTAAAGCATTTACATTAAAAAACTTGAAATAATTGAAAACGTCTTCTGAAGTACATTATCTAATTTACCGACATAGACCATTTTGTTACGCGGCTCAATCTTAATTGGTCTTAATGTTGATGAACAGTTGGTTTTTTACCAATCACTTTTTAAGTCTGATCAATTTTCTGTTTGCGTTTTACAAATAGAGGAGTCTCTGATTTAACCACGACTGGAGGTAAGGTTCTGGGTTTTATTTTATTTTTACTACGTTGAACTAACGTGAGGTTATCGTCAGTCTGATTGTCATCACTTTGTGCATCATTAGTATCTCCATCTGCTCACGGTAATTTGATATTAAACGTAGGTGTTTTTATTGCTTCCCTATTCGAATTAATATTCTTGTTGATACGACGTGCACTGTTTGAAATCGCGTTATTTGAAGGTTGAGTTAAATTTGCATCAAATTTAATACTTTCTGCTGCAGCAACTGGTCTATTAAAATTCAAATCAATCATCGTTTAGCGTCCAGAGACCCAGTTCTCTCGAGGTAGGACGTTGTTTTTTTTTGCCATCAATTTTTTGCGCCAAATTAGGCGATCAGTTGTATCCATTTCATTTAAATTCAGAGCTTTCATGTCTTGCTCGATTGTTTGCGACCAGGACTTTTTTGGACGGTCTTTGGGACGTGTGCCAGGTACTTCAACATCTGCAAGAGAAGTTATGGCACTGTTTCCACTTTGTTTGACATGACCAAACCACCTCAGGCGGTGTTGTCGGCATTCGTCCTTTATATCATTTAAACCAGAACGACGCAGGATTCCGGTTGATTTGATGTGGTCCTTCAGACTAATTCGTTGTATCCATTGGAGCATTTTCATATTGGTTTGGTGAAGTTGTTGCTCTAGTTTGGTTGTCATTGGCCATGTTTCTGCACCATATAACTGTTAAATTTTATGTTTTATTTTAAAACATTATGATTTATGATATACATTTATTTTCTTTAGACCAAATGTTCTTTGCTTTGTATGTAACTTCACTTTTTCCTTTTCTGTTGTTCCGGTTGATAATAAACAAGTCAAGAACGTTTCTAAGTTCATTTTC